ATCAGGGGTGGGAAATGTTCAGACTGTGGGCCATATAAGGCCTGCAAAATCATTTAATCTGGTCCTGCCAAGGCATTAGGGATTAACTAATTAAATATTTGACCAAATATAGCAAGTTAATTTTTTAAAATATATCTTATTGATTTTTTTTACAGAGAGGAAGGGAGAGAGATAGAGAGCTAGAAACGTCGATGAGAGAGAAAAATCAACCAGCCGCCTCTTGCATACCCCCTACCGGGGATGTGCCCACAACCAATGTACATGCCCTTGACAGGAATCGAACCTGGGACCTTTCAGTCCACAGACCGACGCTCTACCCCTGAGCTAAACCGGTTTCAGCTAGCAGGTTAATTTTTAAACTAATGATTTTGCATAGCCCACGAATGCTGCTATAAATATCCAAATGGCCCCTGGCAGAAAAAATGGTCCCCACCCCTGGCTTAAATAAACTGTAATCCTATATAATAAAAGGCTAATACGCAAATCAACCGAACAGCAGAACGAGCAGTCGCTATGACGCACACTGACCACCAGAGGGCAGATGCTCAACATAGAAGCTGCCCCCTGGTGGTCAGTGCACTTCCACGGTGGGAGTGCTGTTCAGCCAGAAGCAAGGCTCACAGCTGGTGAGCACAGCGGCAGTGGTGGGAGCCTCTCCAGAGAATGGGCCAAAGCCGTCAGCCAGACATCCCCCAAGGGCTCTCAGACTGCGAAAGGGCACAGGCTGAGCTGAGGGATACCCTCCCCCAAGTGCACAGAATTTTGTGCACTGGGCGTCTAGTGTATCCATAAAAGGCAATCTTGGCAAATGATGCTATAGATCTATTTTTATTGACATGAAAAGATGTTAACATGTAAACATCAAGTAAAAAGAGATTATAAAGAGAACATATTATATGATTCCTTGTAAATTACACATATAATTTTATATGTATATTTGCAGTTAAAAAATTATAGCTAGGTGATGGGATTTTAAGTATGTTTCTTCTTATTATTCATTTATAGTTGGTGTACATTGAGCTTCTATTGCCTGGATGCTTGGATGAATGGGCAGATACAGTGAGAAATATATAGATACATAGATATAGAATATATAAAGATATATAGATAGAATTGAAAGATCTAGTGTTTAAAAAATAAGATTGCAGCCAAAACCAGTTTGGCTCAATGGATAGAGCATCGGCCTGCAGACTGAAGGGTCCCGGGTTTGATTCTGGTTAAGGGCACATCTCCAGTGGAGGGTGTGAAGGAGGCAACTGATCAATGTTTCTCTCTCATCAATGTTTCTGGCTCTCTATCCCTCTCTGTAAAAAATGTTTCTAACTCTCTATTCCTCTCTGTAAAAAATCAATAAAATATTTTTAAAAAATAATAAGATTGCAGGCACATCTGATATTTGAAAAGCTCTATTATACACTTTAAGAATACTCATGTGCAACATACTTGCAAAAAAAATATATCTGTCTACCTGTATATCAATATCTATACATTTATAGACATTTTCTCACTATATATAAATGCATTGATATAAACAGTGAAAAAAATACTATCTGCTCATTTATAAAGACAATGACAGAATATTATGATAAAGCAAATATAGCAAAATGGCAGCAATCAGGGAATCTGGGTGAAGAGTATATTGGAGTTCCTTGTGCTATTCTTTCAACTTTTCTGTAAATGTGAATTACCTCACAGTTTAAAAGTTTAAAAAAGTAATACACATTTTATATTTCAAACACATGGTCTGGTATAAGATTATACCAATTTAAAAAGAGAAACTACTCCACCACTTGATCTTCTTATTGGCACTTGAAACGAGCCTGTGATCAATCTTTTAATTCACCCTTTACAGTGCTTGTCACAAGAATAACTTGCGATTTATTTGGTTGTCTTCCCCAGAGCGTAGACATATATGGGAAGCCTCCCATTTTGTTTCACAAGGCCAGCACAATTTTAATAACAGAATGTGACAGACCTAGCACATAAAAATCCATGGACCAACGTGAATCATAAATATAGACACACATGTAGAAAACAAATACTAGCTTATTCAAGTCTAATAATTCCTTAAAAGAAAATAATAAATCATTCATAGATAGGGTTCATTTCAAGATTATAAAGTAAGGTCAACATGAGACAATCTAAAGAATTTAAGAGATATTTCATCTGACTTTCTTGATAAATAGTGAAGAGAGGTTTTTCTTTAGCAACTCCTTTTTGTAAACTAGGAATAACAGAACACAATAAAGACTACCTATTACAATATATATATATTTGAGGGGGAATACTAGAGACATTACTACCCAAGCTAGGAAGAAGAAAAATATACCCATTGTCATTGCTATTATCCAACTCTGTTTTGGAGGCTCTAGCCAACATAGTAAAAGGAAATTATAATTACTTCTTAATTTTATGATAACCTCTCTAAAAAATCCCAAAGAAGCCACAAAAAGCTATTAATTAATAAGACTGTTTTAATCAGGTCCAATACAGTATATCAAAGCTTTATGCCAGACATCGCAAGTTGGCAAACTTTTTCCATAAGGGTCAGAGAGTAAATATTTTAGTGTTTGAAGGCCATATGGTCTCTGTAGCAACTATTCAACTCTGTTATGAAAAAGCAGCCATAAATAATACTGAAATGAATGGATGCATCTGTCTTCCAATAAAACTTGATTTACAAAAACAGGCAATGGGCTGGATCTGGCCCACTGGCCACAGTTTGCGGACCCCTACTTTATACCACACACACACACACAAAAAAGTTGATGGAGAAAAGTTATCATCTCAAACAGCAAAACAATATATAAAGACCTAGAAATTACTTTCTAAAGAGCGATTCAACTATATGAATCAAAAAATTAAACTATGAATACTCTTTCAACATAACAAGTCCATTTCTGGGAATTTCTACTAAAGGTATGTTTAGGGAAGGACATAAAGATGTGTACCTATGGATATTTATTATACTGCTATTTGTAATGAGAAAAAAATATCCCTGACATAATCCATGTCTATGAAAATATACCATTTTTAAAGGTGACAGAACAGTATGCATATCAGCTAATTTTTAAGTATATGGGTGTGTGATGGTTATGCATATGTAATCTCACATGAAAAAAATCCTGGAAAGATATATGCCCAGGATTAGTGGCAAAGATATAGTGGCCCAGTGCATGAAATTCATGCAGGGGAGGGGGCTGTTACCCTCTCCAATTTGGGACCTTTCAGGGGATGTCCAACTGCCAGTTTAGGCCCAATCCCCCAGGGGTCGGACATCCCTCTCACAATCCGGGATCTCTGGCTCCTAACTGCTCATCTGCCTGCCAGCCTAATATCCCCCTAACAACTCCCCTGCCAACCTGATTGACACCTAACTTCTCCCCTGCTGGCCCGATCACCTCTAATTGCTCTCCTTTGCCAGCCCAATTGCCCCCAACTGCCCTTCCCTACCAGCCTGATCACCCACAACTGCCCTCTGCTGCCACGACCTGCCTCTTCTGCCGGGACTCGCCTCCTCCATGTGAGGCAGTAGAGATGCTGGGACCGGCCTCCTCCAAGCCACATGGAGCCACAGAACCCCCAGGCCTTACTGCATGGAGCAACCACTGGGCCCCAGCTCTGCTGTGTGTGCAGCCATCTTGTGGCAGCCATCTCTTGGCAACCATCTTGTGATGACATCACATGTGAGGGCTACCTAGGCTTTTATTAGTATAGATAGTATGGGAATTTCAACTGTTGGGTTGGGATAAACTTCTGACATTCTTGAAAAATCCTCATTTATAATTTATGATGACTAAGTTTGGCTCTCTTAATAAAAATGTAAGTTCATATGATTTTGTTTTAAATCTTTATTGTTGAAAGTATGACATAGGTCCCCCCTCCCCCATAAACCTCTTCCAGTCTGCTCCTGTCCTCCCCTCCAGACTCTCACCACCCTATTGTCTGTGTCCACACGTTATGCATATATGCATACAAGTTCATTGGTTGATTTCTTCCTACATACCCTCCCCTGTCTACATGATTTATATCTAGTGACATTTGAGCTCATTTCCCCTTACAATTGACAACAGTTATTTATTTTGCCATGTTTGGGTTATAGTATATCTATAAATGGATACATATTTGACTTTCCTGTATTTAAAATCTTGGGAAAAAGGAGTTGGGGAAGAAAGAAAAATAATGATCCCTCTAAGTGCTCAGAAATTCTTTATAGGTGTAAATGAACACAAGTTATATGACATAACTGTTACCACAAAGAGGTGTGGGGGGGAACATTATATTTCCCTTCTCAAAACACTGAACTTACCTGGCTTTGAAACCTACCAATTTCCCTCCTGAAGTAGCGGTCTCCAATAGCTCAGAATAAAAATTAGATCCATTGCAAACAGAAGATCCTCTAATTAAAGACATTTTCAACTTCTGAAGGGTGTGTGCACACACACCTATGTGAGTATGTGTATGTACGCACATGTAAGTATGTGTGTGTGATCTTGTCATTGCTAGAGAGGCCATGGAAGAAAAGACAGTCTCCCCAGAGCCAAGTTAGAAGTTAACAGGAACAATATGACAGACACAAGGTCATCCAGAGTTCTCAAAAGTGATGTCAAAAAACTATGAGGTGTTAAGTGTATTTTGTAAGCCATAAAAATCTAGGACACAATGAGCAAGTGATAAAGTTTGCTCTGAACACAACAAATAAATACATTGATATAACGTGGCTTGCATTGTTTGCATTAACTATTCCTTTGTTCCCAGTCTCAATCAGATGCTATTTGTCCTTCAGCAGCAGAAATTACTACTGTGAAACATGAACATAATGACTTAAGCTTGGGTTGAGAACGGGGATATTGGAATTCCACAACTTTCCTTTCAATCTTCCATTTTTAAAAATCTGGAACATGAATTCAGTATAGCTAAAAAGTGAATAATGAAATTATGTTTTTCTTGTCAAATACTGATCTCTGTAAAGTGTATCACCATCTCCAATAGAAACTTACCCTTCAACTTGAGGTCCACATTATGTCTCAGCCAAGGATAAACCCCATAGCTTGGCATATCTTCAGGAATTGGATTGCTGTTTATCCAGCCATCACAAGCAAACCGGAAGAAATTATCACAAGGGTCCACAGATGGATTTACTTTACTCAAGATGGCAGCAGCTATTTAAAAAGAAAATCATAGGGTTAATGACAATCACTGAATGCTGTTTATTGGCCTCTTCCAAACTAAACAATGATTTCCTAGCAACCAGTTCCCAAGCCTTAGCTTTTACATTTCCCCGTAAGTGACTCCCTGAATCAACTGCACCATACCAAATTACTGCATTCAGAGTGTGTGGGTGAAAAGTTTCATATTACTGTTATTGGGTTTTGCAGGAACACCCCTAACAATCTGTGGGACACAGGACAGGCGTACAGATGGAGTAGGGGCTAAATTGCTTGCAAAGTTTCCTTCCGGCCCGCTCATCCTTCTGCTAGGTGACTTTGCCACTCTTCCCATCAAGCAATAGGATCGATTTCTCCTGCTTTGAACCTGGGCTGGCCTTATGGCTTGCTTTGACCAACAGAATGTGGCATAATAACTTTCCACAAATTTATAAGCTAGCTCTTAAGAATCCCTGCATGTTGCATGTGAACTCTCTTTGAATGGAACCCTGAGACTATCCTTTGAAGAAGCCTCCTGGAGGTGAGACCACGTGGAGAAGAACCAAGCCAGCACCAACTGCCAGATATGCGACTGAGGCCTTCGTGCACCTTCTAGGTCACGTGACCCTTCAGGTGAATGCAACTTTATGAATGAGCCTAAGCCAGTGGTTCTCAACCTTCCTAATGCCGCGACCCTTTAATACAGTTCCTCATGTTGTGGTGACCCCCGAAGATAAAATTGTTTTCATTACTACTTCATAACTGTAATTTTGCTATTGTTAGTGAATCGTAATGGAAATATCTGTGCTTTCCGATGGTCTTAGGCTGCGGTTCTCAACCTGTGGGTCGTAACCAGGTTGAGAACCACTAGCAGGGTTGCCTGAGACCATCAGAAAACACAGATATTTACATTACGATTCATTAACAGTATCAAAATTACAGTTATGAAGTAGTAACAAAAATAATTTTATGGTTGGGGGTCACCACAACATGAGGAACTGTATTAAAGGGTCGCGGCATTAGGAAGGTTGGGAACCACTGGCCTAGGCAGTAACAGTTGAGCAACCCTCACCAAACCCACAGAACCATGAAAAATATTAAGTCACTCTTATTCCAGGCCTCTCAAGTTGGTTTGTTCCACAACGCAGGCTAATTAAAAGAGGCCCACGTGTTACATCTAAATATTTAAAATACTAGAGGCCAAATGCAGGAAATTGATGCAAGGGGCTCTAACCCCACCACCACCGTGGTGGCCGCCTCTGTGGCTTCGTCCGGAAGGACGTCCAGTCTAATTAGCATATTATGTTTTATTATTATAGATATATTTATAATACACCTTCATAAAGACCTGGATGGCCAAGTATGAATTTGAACCCTTTGGCATTCAGGGCAGCTCTCAGAGTAATGAACCCCTCTTAAGAGACCAACATGGTCCCTGAAAGGAGGCTTGGGGCTCTCTAGCAGTGAGCTCTGGGTTGTGGAAGGATGCTAACGTGGCCCCTATAAGACTCATTGGGTAGAGAGCAAGGCCAAGTGGGCATTCTACATGAGGGACTCAAGGCAGGGGCCTCTCTTACCCAGGTCTAGGACCTGAACCGAGTATTCGTGTAGTAAGTTAACAGAAATACAAAAGAGACTGATGCCTAATTTTCCCCCCTCTTTCATAAGCCCACACACAATTACATATGACATATAGCCGATAGGTTGGAAGTTTGTGCAAATGTAAATGTTTCCATGAGCTTTAAAAACAATCTTTCATTATAAAACGAGAAGGTTCCAATATTCCCAACATTGAACTCCGACTCTCTTCCAATTGGCATACAATTGCTGACTACCACTCTAGAACAGAGAGATCCACCAACAAATTTTTTTAAGACAGCTAATATTTTAATGACATTGGAAAGATGACATCCTGAGTAGTTTTCATACTCTCATTAATGCCAGAATACATTTCTGTTCAAAGTAATTAAAACCCAATGAGTTTTCAGCTAAATGTGAATTAATTGCCCCCAAAAGTATAATCTACATACATTTAGATACATGTTAGTTTGGCTACATGTGTGGTTCCTCCAGGTTTGAAAGTAAGGCTAGGTATTTCTCTTGCCTAGACTTTCTATAAAATTTTCAAACAGCTTTTTGTCTTCAAATAAAGCAAATAATATACAAACATCCTCATTTCTATAGGACTTCAAAATTTCTACCATTTTCAACCTCCCCCAAAAAAAGAACAAAGCAAAAAAAAAATGTCATTAATCCTATGGTTTAGAAGTTTGATAAATTTTAAATTGGCTTAACATTTTCATCTTTCATAATTCAGTCGTATCCAATTACATTTTTACTTACTGCTACTATATTATTATTATTTAACATTCAAATATGCTAGGACACACAAAATCTTCATTTCAATTTCTATTTAGTTATACTGGCTGTGCAGCCAGAGAATGAACCTTCTATGGGACACCTCAGGGTCACTGAACATACAAGTTTCAGTCCCACACAATATTTATACTCACACAAAGGAACCCCACACACACATTTTTTATTGTTTTTTCCAAAAAGCCTTATTGTTTCCATTTGGTCCAATGCATGGGAGGGGGCTGCAGGTGGTTAAAGGAATGGCTAGTAGTTTCGGGGAGAGGCTCAGGCAAAAGCCAGACCCCAGGGGAACACAGGGACCCCCTCAGAGGCCTGTGGGCTCCACAGGCTCCCAGTGGTGCCTGAGGGTGAGCCTTTGGGAGGAGCCTGGGGGCCGCAGCCTGCACAGTGGATCAGGTGGGCCCATCTCCTGGAGGAGTCACACCTGCTCACCCAGGAAGCGGTTCCCGGGAGGTCACGGAGCTGAGAGTCTGCGCGTGCGCGGGTGGAACCAGGCCTGCGGCTCCCAGAGGGCTTGGCTGGGGTTCCTCTCCAAGGCCAAGGCCAAGGCGGCCTCCATGGGGCCTGAGTGGTGCCCACTCACTATGGGGGCTCCAGCACGTCCTGGAGAGCCTGCGGCCACCGCGCTGGTTTTACATCTCTAAGAGATGCTCAGCGCCCTCGCACTTCTTTTCCACCAGCTCCTGGAAGAAGTGGCCAGAGGCTGGAAGAAGGGGCGTCCCTGGGTCTGTTCCGTCCTAACACTGTAGAAGCTAGAAGCAGAGAGAGATCCGGGGCCACCGAGGGCACTCACACATTTGCATTCACACAAGCACACTGCTTTCTGGATGCCTCCCAACCCAGCTCCTCAGTATTCGTGCAGGTACCTAGAAAAACTGCAAGGTCAGCTCCAACCTCAGCCCTGATAGAAAGTGAAGGAATACATCACTCACTGAACTTGGAACCGAGCCCGGTGAATGGGGAAACTCTAGCTTCAGCCTCCCAATTCATCATTCACATTTCCCAGCTGGGCACAGAGCTGCATTTTGAGAAGGGGAACTGGGTCTTCAAATTTCAAGGGACCATAGTTGTCAAGACACCAAAACTCCTTTCCCCCCCCGACTCAGCTTCATGGAGAAAACCCAGAATCTTTTTTTAAATAATAATTATTATTATACATTTACAGACACATAAGTATCTATATGATGATGAAGGAAATCTGTGCTGTGTGCTCTCTCAAGTCATCTATAATAATAAAAGCATAATATGCTAATTAGACCGGACAGCCAAACGAACGACTTTCCAGACGACCTTGAGGACAAAGCCACGGTTGCCAGGGCCAAGCCCCTTGCACGAATTTCATGCAAGGGCCTCTCGTTGTATATAAGGTGAAATGTTAAGTGGTTTATGTAGTAGAGATTGAGTGACCACCCATATACCAGGCTGAGTTTGTAAGTTTAATCGGGGCTCAAGAAAGAAGGGGAGAGTGGTGGTAGCAATAATAATAATAATAACAATAATAATAAATATTAGGCATTTCCTCTGAGCCAGGAACTATGCTAGCCCTTTCCAGGCAGTATGGCATCATCACAAACTCCAGAGCCAGACCACCTGGGTTTAAATGCCAGAAATACAATGCAGTAGCTATGTAACCTCAGGCAGGTTACTTAACCTTAGTTTCCTCATCTGTAAAATGGGACCATAACAACACTCCATAGGATTTTCAAGAGAATTAAATGAGTAAACATATGTCACGTGTTTAGAACAGTGCGAGGGACACTGCCAAATACTACAGGTGCCAGGTAAAATACAAGATGCCTATTGAAATTTGAATTTCAAATAAATGACTAAGTCTATAGTATACCAATTGTTCTATGGGACATACTCCTGCAAAAAAAAAAAAGTAGTGTTTGTACGTGTGCAATTCAAATTTAACTGAGCATCCGAAATGTGTCTGTAGCTAAATCTGGCAGCCACACAAATTTTTAGTACTATAATTCCACGAACACTTATCTGAAACTTGAGGCCAGATGTTTCAGAGCTCATAGATTTTCACATTTTAGAAAAGTAACACAGTGCATATACCACAGATTATATAACGCCTCCAGCAACATCTGGAATGGCACTCCTGAAACAAGCACATTAAGAATTCTATTGGGGATATATACATATTCTCATACGGGGGAAACAAAGTCTAAAACAGCCTCCCATGAGTTAGGATCCAGTTTTGGCACCACCAGAGTTAAGTTCAGGTCCAGTCTCACCAACTGAGAATCACCATGCTCTCTGGATTTGGGGTTAAGGATCTGGAATTGTGGACCTGGAATACTACTACCACCACCATCATTTTCTCTTATTCTCGCTGGCATGGTAAGTGAAAACTGTTCCTCCCACTTTACAGATGGTGAAAACTGAGACTTAAGAGTGTCTGTGTACTTAGCTCATGATCATGTGGCTTTTAAGGGGCCACTTTATGCTTTAAACCCAGGCCAAGCTGTTTGCCCTTATACACTATCATTAACATACCTGTTTCTGCATTCCACTTCCCTTGCATTCTTCCTCCACTTCTGATTCTGAAAGACCAGTTAAGTAGGAGGAAATAGAAAAGAAGAAGAGGCCAAAACCGGTTTGGCTCAGTGGTAGAGTGTCGGTCTGCGGACTGAAAGGTCCCAGATTCGATTCCGGTCAAAGGCATGTACCTTGGTTGCCGGCACATCCCCGGTAGGGAGAGAGGGTGTGCAAGAGGCAGCTGGTCGATGTTACTCTCTCATCGACGTTTCTAGCTCTCTCTCTCCCTTCCTCTCTGTAAAAAATCAATAAAATAAAAAATTTTTAAAAAGGTGAAGAGATTTAGGGGAGACAGCTAAGAAAAGGTTCGGGAGGCGAGCACCTTCTAGCGCGCTGCACCCACATATACACACGGCGCCCACATACTCACAAAGCCACAAAACACGCATTCACAGGCACGCGTACAGCACCCGTTGGCGCACGTAGACGCACGCACACGACACCCGTCGGCATACGCAGACACATGCGTCTGCACGCACATGGCACCTATCCGCGCACGTAGACGCACACAAGCACATGGCACCCGTAGGCGTAAGCAGACGCACACACGCACATGCACGCACACAGCACCCATTGGCTTACACAGACGCACGCACGTAGACGTAGACGCAAGCGGCACCTGTCAGCGTACGCACACGCACGCAGCACCCGTTGACGCACATAGACGCACGCACGTGCATTCATAATGGCGTACGCAGATGCACGCACACTGCCACTGTCGGCGCCGCCGAAACACACATGCACACACACACACACAGCATCCGTTGGAGCATGTAGATGCACACACACACACACACACACACACACACACACACACGGCACCCGTCGGCGTAAGCAGACGCACGCACGCACATGCACGCACACGGCATCCGTCGGCGTGCAGCTTATGCAGATGTACATACAAGTATGCAGCACCCATCAGCATACGCAGACACACACACACCGCCTCCATTGGCGCACGCAGACACACGCACGCACGGCGCCCATCAAGGTATACACGCACACACATGCACGCACGCACGCTTGCAGCACCCGTTGACCAGAACATTCAGCAAGACTGCTTATAAAATAAATAGCAATCTATATCAAGTTGAGGCCATAGGAAGGTCAATGGTCTCCGTCTTTGGGCCTTACAAAGAGGCCATTCAGCTTTCCAAGCCCCTTTCTGATTTCCTTATACAGGAATACCTTGGGGGTTTTCTTTATTGCTCTTTCTTTTTTATTAAATTTATTGGGGTGACACCGGTTAATAAGATTATATATCGTTCTCAAGTGTTTTATTGCATTTTTGCTTTATTGCTCTTCACAGGTATTGCTTTTCTTTTTCTTTTTTTTTTTTTCTTTTTTTACTAACTTAAGGCAAGACCCTCCACCCAGGCAAAAAGATTACAACCCATTTTATTGCAATACTCCATTTTATTGTGGAGGTCTGGGACCGAAATCGCCATATCTGACTGCCTGCAATGACTTAGAATACCGCACAGCTGTTTTTTGTTTTGTTTTGTTTTTTCAAGGAAAAAAGAAAACAGGAAACCTGCTCTCCACGACTTCACACCAAGATTTGAAAGGAAACTTAAAATTTCATCAAAATTGCATTTCATACTTTGCAAACCTCAAGCAAACAGGATACTAAAAATACCACCTGTTTTCTCTTCCAGTCCCCAAGGTACCATAATTATAACTTGACACAGGACGGGAAACTGACTTACCAGCTTCAATGCATTCTGGCTTCAGGCAGTACTCCTGTTTAGCTTGGAGATGTAAGAAACCTTGACTCACTGAAAAAACAAGACCAAAATAAAGAAATGACTGCTTAAAGCAGATCACCATCAGGTAACCCACCACCAGGCACATATACAAGGCATTTGATAGCAGTTCATCCTTCTCAGTATTGACACGGAACTAAAAAATCCAGTTGGCTCAGTATCACAGAACCAGACTCGGGTCATTAGCGAAGTAACCTTGGTGAGACTTCTGGTTGCTCTGAAATTCAGTTCTCTCAAACATAAGATGATTGGGCACAATTAGACCAGTGCTTCTCAGAATGGGGTCCCCTGAGCAGTGGCAACAGCATCACCGGGAAATTTGTTAGAAATGCAAATTACCAAGCCCTGCAGTCCTTCAGAATCAGAAACTCTGAGGTGGGGCCCAGCCATCTGCATTGCACCAAGGCCTCCAGGGGATTCTGATGCAGGATCTTGTTTAAGAAGTACTGGGCTCACCCTAACTGGTATGATTCAGTGGATAGAGCATCGGCCTGCGGACTGAAGGGTCCCAGGTTCAATTCCGGCCAAGGACATGTACCTTGCTTGCAGGCACATCTCCAGAGGGGGGTGTGCAGGAGGCAGCTGATTGGTGTTTCTCTCTCATTGTTGTTTCTATCTCTCTTCCTTCCTCTTTGTAAGAAAAAAAATCAATAAAACAAAAAAGAACTGGGCGAAGGAAGGAAGGAAGGAAGGAAGGAAGAAAAAGGAAGAAAGGAAGGAAGGAAGGAAGGGAGGGAGGGAGGGAGGGAGGGAGGGAGGGAGGGAAGGAAGGAAGGAAGGAAGGAAGGAAGGAAGGAAGGAAGGAAGGAAGGAAGGAAGGAAGGAAGGAAGGAAGGAAGGAAGGAAGGAAGGAAGGAAGGAAGGAAGGACTACTGGGCTAGAAGATCTCTCAAGTCTCTCCCATCTCCTATTATCTATTATTTAAGTCTCATAATTTTACTCTGTTGTTTACAACTACATTCTGGTTTTAGTGATGGGAAAATTGAAACATGTCATTGGGAACAAATCCTGAGCGGAAGGAGAAAGCTAGCATGTGTGGCATTTAGAGTTCAGGATCTTAGCTAAACCATCCATATAGATGAGGCCCAAGATAGAGGAAGGTACTATATATTATATATAACTCAACCATCTAGCAAGAGAGCCATTATTTGCCTGCTTTGTACCCCACACACCCTCCTCCCTCCAGACCCAGCCTCACTACTAGACATGCAGCTCCATGGACCAAGCTTCCAACTACTTCCACCAAAACAAAGCGGAACAAAAACCACCACAAGATGGAAGCGGCTTTCCACCAATTGCTCACTTTCCCCCATCTGGTGCAACATTGTCTGAATGGATCTCTGCGAGAGTACAGAAGCGTACCCATTTGTAAACTCCAGCTAGCACCTGGGCACTAGCAGATGTGAGCTCAGATTTCAAAAATAGTTTTGGTAGCCGAAGAACTTGTGGGGAATTCACTATCACTGGGCTCTGGGGGCGGAAATAAGGAGTCATTTGGAGATGTGGCTGTGGGGAGATGCAAGTTGGGGGGGGGGGTGGAGGGGGGCTCTTCATGGCATCCTCAACTGAGAAGCAGAATCAGAAAGTGTGGCAGTGTCTATATTTCTGCTAGAGATGTACGTCACGTGCCAGCATGTCAATCTGGTTTGTTTATTTACTTGCCTTTTTGTTTGTGTGTTTTCTGTTTTATTTATTAACTCGCATTCTGAGAGGAGCCAGCTTTTTTCTTTGTTCGTATCACTGCTGCCATCCTCCAAACAGCCTTTTTACCTATTACCCTGCAGATTCAATAAGCTGCCTATGAAATAACTCAGGCCTGCTTTTAAGAAATGAAGTATTGCTGAAACCAGTTTGGCTTGGTGGATAGAGCATCAGCCTGCAGACAGAAGGGTCCCAGGTTCGATTCCAGTCAAAAGCATGTACCTTGGTTGCGGGCACATCCCCATTGCGGGGTGTGCAGGAGGCGGCTGATCAATGTTTCTAGCTCTATCTCTCTCCCTTCCTCTCTGTAAAAAATCAATACAATATATATTTTTAAAAAGGAAATGAAGTGTTGTAGCATAAAGATGCGTTTTGATTTGTTTAAAAAGCAAAGAAAAAAAGTAGTGAGGTAAAAATATATCTGTGCAGTCTAAAAATTGGTACCAAATATTTCAATGTGCCTGAGTGCTAGAACCATAGAGGACATTTGCTCTTTAGTCCACTTCCATATGTTTTCCAAATGTTCTTTAATGAGCATGTGTGGTTTTTTTTATAATGGAAAAATAAATTTATTGCAAATAATATTTTATGGTTCTGGACAATACCTTCTTGATACTAGCCTTGTTTGTTTTTTTAATATCTCAGCATTTCTTTCTTTTTCTTTTTTTAATATATTTTATTGATTTTTTACAGAGAAGTAGAGAAAGGGATACAGAAAAACATTGATGAGAGAGAAACATCAATGAGCTGTCTCCTGCACACCCCCCACCAGGGATGTGCCCACAACCAAGGTACATTTCCTTGACCGGAATCAGAGCTGGGACTCCTCAGTCAGCAGGCCGACACTCTATCCACTGAGCCAAACTGGTTTCGGTGATACTAGCCTTGTTTTATTTTAAATATATATATTTTTTTATTTCAGAGAGGAAAAGAGAGGGAGAGGGAGAGGGAGAGAGAAACATCAATGATGAGAGAAAGTCATTGATTGGCTGGCTCCTGCACACTCCACAATGGGGATTCAACCCACCACCTGGGCATGTGCCCTGACCCGGAATCAAGTTGTGACCTGGTTCACAGGTCAATGCTCAAACACTGAGCATGCCAACCGGGCATATGACTGAGTTTGAACAGGCATAAGAATATACCACAAAGTCATACTAGAAGTATCTTGAAGAGTTGAAGACCTTATCCAGAATATTGTCAAAAAGAGAATTGCCTGGCCCTAACCAGTTTGGCTCAATGGATAGAGCATCAGCCTGCAGATTGAAAGATCCCAGGTTTGATTCCAGTCAAGGGCATGTACCTTGGTTGCAGGCACATCCCCAGTAGGGAGTGTGCAGGAGGCAGCTGATGGATGTTTCTCTCATCGATGTTTCTAACTCTCTCTTCTTCTCCCTTTCTCTCTGTAAAAAATCAATAAAATATATATTTAAAAATAATGCAGATCCTGCCGAGACCGGTTTGGCTCAATGGATAGAGCGTTGGCTTGGGGACTGAAGGATCTCGGGTTCGATTCCGGTCAAGGGCATGTACCTTGGTTGCGGGCATATCCCCAGTAGGGGGTGTGCAAGAGGCAGCTGATCGATGACTCTTTCTCATAGATGTTTCTAACTCTCTATCTCTCTCCCTTCCTCTCTGTACAAAATCAATAAAAATATATTTTAAAATAAATAAATAAATAAATAAATAAATAAATAAAAATAATGCAGATCCTGATTCAGTAGGTCTGGGTGGGTAGGGTCCAGGCTTAACAAGTGATGCTGATACTGTTGGTCCACAGACCACACTTTGAGAAGCAAAAGTATAGAATGGCTACACCCTTACTCTCTAACATCATTAGAGTTCCTCTTAGATTCCTGGTGAGAACCAGGTTATCGGGCACACTAGAAAGTTCTTTTTTTAAAAATATATTTTATTGATTTTTTTTTTACAGAGAGGAAGAGAGAGGGATAGGGAGCTAGAAACATCAATGAGAGAGAATCATCGATCAGCTGCCTCCTGCACCGCCCCCCCCCCCACTGGGGACGTGCCCGCAACCAAGGCACATGCCCTTGACCGGAATCAAACCTGGGACCTTTCAGTTGCAGGCCGACACTCTATCCACTGAGCCAAACCAGTTTCAGCTAGAAAGTTCTTCTTCTTTTTTTTTTTTTTTTTTTTTCTATTGGTTGCAGAGCTCCTTATGGGTAAGGAGGTCTGTATATAATGGCTTGGTGAATTTAACTGTGCTCTAAAAACTTGAGTGCTGATTCCAAAGAATCATGTTCTCTTGAACAAAAATTTGCTGCCATCAAAAGTATTCCAGCCCTGCCGAAACCAGTTTGGCTCAGTGGTAGAGTGTCGGTCTGTGGACTGAAAGGTTCCAGGTTCAATTCCGGTCAAGGGCATGTACATTGGTTGCGGGCACATCCCCGGTAGCGGGTGTGCAGGAGGCGGCTGGTCGATGTTTCTCTCTCATCGACGTCTCTGGCTCTCTATCTCTCTCCCTTCCTCTCTGTAAAAATCAATATATATATATATATATATATATATATATATATATATATATATATATATATATATATAAAATTTTTTTAAGTATTCCAGCCCTAACCAGTTTGGCTCGGTGGCTAGAGTGTCAGCCTGCAGACTCAAAGGTCCCAGGTTCGATCCGGTCAAGGGCATGTACCTTGGTTGTGGGCACATCCCCAGTGGGGAGTTGTGCAGGAGGCAGCTGATTGATGTTTCTCTCTCATCGATGTTTCTAACTCTCTATCCCTCTCCCTTCCTCTCTGTAAAAATCAATAAAATACAGTTTTTGAAGAGTACTCCAACTAATATGCTTTAGCCTCAGAATGTAATCATAACAATGGAATTTCAAAAAAGTTTCAAGAGGCAGTAATATTAAAAAAAAAAAAGTACATATTTTTACATAAACAATCATCATTTGGATTTTTAAGTTGGGAGTGTTTTCAAAACACAAATAGTCTAACTTTGTGGTCACTTCCTACACAGCATGTAGTCCCTTGGCATGCCATATCATTTTTCCTCCAGTTTTGGATTTCAGGATAAGACACTTGCCCAAGACCCAAAAGCCAAGAGATCGCATAATAGTTTTCGAGAGCCACAAATTTGGTCGCAGGAGTAGGAGATTTCACTGTCCCAGAAAGCAATAAAAGCCACCTCATTCCCTATATTTTCAGCCACAGCAAAGATGGAAAGATGGCTTGCTCATTTTAGCAAAGTTTTCAACCACACAACCCTCACGCTTTTCAAGTTTAATTACTGGCTTCCCCGTGCCAAAATAAACATGGCCTCCTGCAGCCTCTATGTGCCAAGGAATGTTTCCAGGCATGCTACATTTCAAACTGCACCTAGAGTCTGCTAAGTATAGAGCTTGGTCCTATACAACGTTCAAGCTAATGGTATGGGCTGTCTGAGCAAAATACAAAGGCTGATAGGCAAGGGTTCGGAATGCCTATAGTCTTTAATGTATTTCATTCTTTGTTATAGGAATATGTTTTTATCATCTGATAGTCTCCCTGGAAACCTTCTTCTCACCAAGAGTTAACATAATTCAATCCTAACACCTTTCAAATCTTGGAAGGAAACCTCTGTTTTCCTTCACGTTCTTTTTTAAAATCTCATAGAAAGGTGGAGTTAAAATGTTATCCCACCAGGGTCCCTGGATAAGAAAGGAAGAATATCATTTAGAGGTGCATTCATAAAAACTAATTTGTATTTTGTGAGTTAAATGTTATGATTCATCCAGGCAAACATTGACAGAAATCAAATGGAAAGGAATTCCAGCATGGTTTTGATCACAGTGTAATGCTCTCCTCGCCAAACAAATGAAAGTATCTGCCTATGAATTCATAAACACTCATTTGCTGCTAAATGCAATGCAGAAAGACAATATTTGCCCCGTGCCAGCCAATCCTCCAGCCACTCGGAAGCCACTCTCTACCCACTTCACATCCTGGGCTACGCACCGAGTGCTTGCGTGTATTTATTTATGTAGCCTCCTAAAGAGAAGGCTCCCACGATTTGCATATTTAATAGAAACCAAGGATGCATCATCTACCAATACAAGCACACAGCCCTCCACCTGCATCCTGAGGAGTCTGGCAGCATCCAGTCCAGAGACTTGCCCCGCGTTCGCCCAGCTCCCTGGCCTCCAGCGCCCTCACTTACCTAGAAAGAGGACGGTGCCCAGCACCAGGGTGCTACCGACGAACACCGCCAGGGCGATCCGAGTGCCTCTGTTGGCCGATTTCCCAGCCTCCATGCTGCTCCCCGTCTCTGCTTCCATCGGAAGGGATGTGGAGCTCAGGCCAGGAGAGAGTCGCCGTGTGTGGTTTGTTGGCCAGTCTCAAGAGTCTCTTAGATGTTGGCATCCAAAAGTTCTCTCTCGCTCTTGTACGAATGGACAGCTGTGAAAGGTCCTATCAGGAAACAGCCCCTCACCAGCCCTTCTCGAATAGTTCTTCACACAAATGAAGTCCAAGAAACCCAAAACATGGGTTGTCCCGGCTCTCCCCACCCTGACCAGACAAAATAAACAGTGGTTGCTTTATCTCGGTGTGCTCCCACCAGCAAAGTCCCCCTCCACCGATTGTTTGGCAGGCTCTTCTCTCAGGCGTTCCGGGTGTACATGTTTTACTATGTTGCTGAACAGATGTTTTAGCTATTTAAACGTATAGTCACTTGGGGAGGAAAAACCAATTGTCTTTATCAAAACTGGATTTGCGTCAAGCTCTCCCCCTGACCATGACAAGTTAGGTAGCAAGGATTCTCCAGACCCACTGCAAGATTGCAACAATTCACGTCATCCTTTGCGCAATAGTCATCCTGCTCGCCTGAAATTGTCTTCATCAAAGATGTGCTTGCAGGGAGCAAGTCGGTTTTTAAAGCCTTCTAAGAGTTCCTGGGATATCCTGGAGCATTTTATTTTGGGAACTCTGTGCATGACCACATGTGCCAAAAATCAGAGTCAGAGTCCAGTGCAATGCAAAGTAGCAATTAAGACAACCTACAGAGGCTGATGGTTTGGACCGGAACATTTTTTTTAAGGAGGAAAGAAAAGCACACCCTCTGGGTAGTGCTAAGAATTGTACAAATGACAGGTAAGTTTTCAAATTAAGGATATGATGGTTAAAAAAAAAAATTTCCTGCATCGTTTGATGAAAAGTGTCCCCCATGTATTTTTACTCTAGTCCCACAGAGGCAGGCATTAGTTACTATGTTTTTGTGTGTGTGTTTTTTTAAAATATATTTTTATTGATTTCAGAGAAGAAGGGAGAGGGAGAGAGAGAGAAACATCAATAATGAGAGAGAATCATCAATCAGCTGCCTCCTGCATGCCCCCAACTGGAATCGAACCTGGGACCCTTCAGTCCACAGGCCGATGTTCCATCCACTGAGCCAAACCAGTTAGGGTGATTACTATGTTTTTATGTTTACATAAAGCACGCATTTTAGCAGATTCCCCAGGATGAATTCAGAGGCAATTGGTTTCACTGGAAAGACTGATTAATGAGTGGATATTTGGTTTCTTTGAATATGCTAACGTTATGAAAATCTGCTTTCTTCATGGAAAAGGGCAACCAATATTCCAATGCTATTGAAATGATATGCACTTTATGATCTGATTATGGGGGTGGGCAAAAGTAGGTCTACAGTCGTGTGTATACAAAACAGAATTTATTCTTGTATTACTTACTAGTGCACTATTTATTATTATTAATAACCTACTTTTGCCCACCCCTGTATATAGATATCATTTTTTTTCATTTTTAAATAGATATTTATTGTTGCTAGTATTATAGTTATCTCCCATTTCCCCCTCCCACCCTCCTCCCAACCTATACCCACTGCCTCCCAGGTCTTTACTACCCTATTGTCGTGTCCATGGGCTATGCATATCCTATATAATAAAAGGCTAATATGCAAATTGACTGAATGGCAGAATGACCAGCCACTGTGACGTGCACTGACCACCAGAGGGCAGACATTCAATGCAGGAGCTGCCCCCTGGTGGTCAGTGTGCTCCCACAGGGGGAGTGCTGCTCAGCCAGAAGCCAGGCTCATGGCTGGCAAGTGCACCAGCGGTGGTGGCAGCCTCTCCCACCTACACAGCAGTGCTAAGAATGTCCGACTGCTGGCTTGGAGTGGGCCTAAGCCATCAATTGGACATCCCCCGAGGGCTCCTTGACTGTGAGAGGGTGCAGGCTGGGCTGAGGGTACCCGCCTCCCCACAGTGCATGAATTTTGTGCACCGAGCCTCTAGTAAGTCTAAATTCTTTGGTTTATCTCTTCTCGTCCCCCCTAGATATCATTAATTCACAACACAATTATTATTACCTGTTCATGTTTTATTGGAGGTCATAGGACAGTGGGCATAGGGAGTGGAGCATTCAGCTACACTTAGGAACCAGTGGAGCACTTTTCTTTCTCATACAAAACTTGTGCCTGTGGGCCTGGAGGTCACACCAGAGCACAGCAGACACCAATGAGCCCAGTATAACATGGCTCATGGTCTTATCTGGCTGATCTTGGTCAGGCTTTAGACCATCCTATGGAATTCTCCTACAGCTTTAGACTTATTTATGATACATCTTACCTTACTTTCGGCTCAGTTCATGTTGCTTCAAAGTCAGAAGAGCATAATCCTTCTCCAAATTATGACATTATAGTAAGCTATAGTTAATACTTGCTCATTGGCTATTGATGTTATTGTGTTTTTATTTTATAACACTAGCAAACCTTTGGCTCCTAGGTTGGAATTCTCCCAATAGTTTGTAGACTTGACTCCATAGTATTTCTTAGACTTTGAGCTCCATAAGGTCAAGAATTATGTCCATCAAGTTCACTGCTGCAGCTCCAGCCTCTACAGTTCCTTACCCATAACAGCAAAGGAAGAAATAAGAGCAATGAAAACCATCCAAGTTAGACCTAGCTACTTACTCTTAAAAAGCAGCTTCAGGAACCTCAGATGCTAGTAACTAGGGGTAGGGGACTCAACTTCCTAACTCCTTATAAATGTTCAAATGATAATGATACTTCACATAGGCATAGCACTTTCCTATTCCATTTTAAACTCAGGGCAAACCCATATACTTGATAACAAAGGTATATTTATGTCTAGTTAGCAAATGAGAACACTGATACCCAAGGACCGGCCTCCGATGGCATAGGAGAACCAGAAAATGGAAACATAGTGAGGAGGATCGCTGCCATACCCATTCTCCAAATCTCCTCACGCATTTTGGGTCCAATCTGACATGCAATGGTGGCCATGTGATGCCAGCTGGAGTAGCCTTTACCCTTCTTAGACTGGTAATTTCCCCACAGGTGAGGGCAACTGGGGCTTACTCTGAAGTACACCTATCCATTACCTAGCAGCATGAATTCATTCCCAAACATTCAACTGCTGAATGAAAAATCATAAAACAAAAAATACTTTAAATAATTGTAATAGAAAAATGATGATGCATTCCAAAACTAAGATAGGCAAATGCAGACAGAAAAATGTATTAACTGAACAATGGAAACACCTCTATAAAAGCAATTAACAGCCCAGCTGGCATGGCTCAGTGGTTGAGCATTGACCTATGAACCAGGAGGTCACAATTTGATTCCCAGTTAGGGCATATGCCAGGGTTGCTGGCTCAATCCCCAATGAGGGTAGGGGGTACGAGAGGTAGCCAATCAATGATTCTCACTCATAATTGATATTTCTATCTCTCTCACCCCCTTCCTCTCTGAAACTAATAAAAATATATTTAAAAGTAATTAACAGCTTCCAGGATTTTGAAAATTGTTTGTATAATCCTATCTAATAAAGATGGGATATGCTAATTGACCATCACATTCTCACAAGATGGTAGCACCCACCGCCAATAAAGAGGGAATGTGCTAATTGGCTACCACGCCCTCACAAGATGGCAACACCCACCGCCACAAGATGGCAGCGTCCAGTTCCCTCAGTCCCCCAGTATCCTCAGCCCTGTCTCATCCAGCCTGAGTCCCCCAGTCCCCTCAGCCCTACCTCATCCAGCCTCATTATCCCAGTCATCTCAGCCCCACTGGGGAAGGCAGTTGGGGGTGATTGGGCCAGCAGGAAAGGGCAGTTAGAGGCAATCAGGCCAGCAGGGGAGGGCAGTTGGGGATGATCATACCAGCAGGGGAACAGTTAGGCGTCAATCAGGCCAGCAGGGGAGCAGTTAGGTGGCTATCAGGCAGGGAGGCAAAGTGGTTAGGAGCAATCAGGCAGGCAGGCAGGCAAGTGGTTAGGAGCCAAAAATCGTGGATTGTGAAAGGGATGTCTGAATGCTGGTTTAGGCCTGATCCCAGCAGTTGGACATCCCCCAAGGGGTCCAAGTTTGGTGCAGGCTGGGCTGAGGGATGCCCCCCCATGCATGAATTTTATGCACCGGGCCTCTAGTGTAATATAATGAAGTTTTGTAGGGGTTTTTTACTTACCAAAGGAATAAAGGAAGACTTCAGAATGAGTGGGAATTGGTAAAGGGTGCAGGTGAATCATCTACATATACACTAGAGGCCTGGTGCACAAAATTTGCGCACTCGAGAGGGGTCCCTCAGCCCAGCCTGCGCCCTCTCACAGTCCAGAGCTCTCAGGGGATATCCAACTAACAGCTTAGGCCCACTGCCCATGGGGAGTGAGCCTAAGCCAGCAGTCGGACATCCTTAGCAAAGGTGGGAGCCCGACTTTTGGCTGAGTGGCGCTTCCCCTGTGGGAGTGCACTGACTACCAGTGGGCAACTCCTGCATTGAGGATATGCCCTCTGGTGGTCAGTGAGCATCATGGTGACTGGTCATTCCTCCATTCAGTCAATTTCTATATTAGCCTTTTATTATATAGGATAAAAGCCAAGCGACCAGAATGACGGGAATGACCAGTCGCTATGACATGCACTGCAGCTGGACAACTGGCTTGATTGGGGGCGGGGCCAGCCAACCTCCTATATCCCCCCACGAACCCCCAGCCAGCCCAGCCCCAATCAGCCTCAATCAAGGTAGGCTGGCCAGATCCCACCTGTGTATGAATTCGGGCACCAGGCCTCTAATTCATTATAAAGTACATTCTTCATTCTGTGCCATTTTGCACATTAATTTTCAACCTTTTGGGAGATGATTATCTTGCACTCAAAGTGCATTTAAAAATAGTTGTAGTGCCGAAACCGGTTTGGCTCAGTGGTAGAGCATCGGTCTGTGGACTGAAAGGTCCCAGGTTCGATTCCGGTCAAAGGCATGTACCTTGGCTGCGGGCACATCCCCGGTGGGGGGTGT